GGGGGGGGGGGGGGGGGGGGGGGGGGGGGGGGGGGGGGGGGGGGGGGGGGGGGGGGGGGGGGGGGGGGGGGGGGGGGGGGGGGGGGGGGGGGGGGGCGCGAAAGAGCGCCGACGTACATTTAGCGACAGCAGTAGGAAGACACAGCGTTGTTACTCTTGTACGCTCATGCATACTCAAAACTATGCGCTGACGAGGAGGAGGATGAGGGAGATCGCTGGCTCAAAAAATACGAAGGGTGGTTGTTTTGTTTCACATCTCACAATGTGTACAAACACATTATCTTCAGCGGAGCCAGTACACCCAGAGAGTACCTCGAAGACGGCCTTCGCGTCTACCTCGCTGAAAGGCAACTAAATCACAACTTGTTCTTGACATACACATCGTACGCATGCGTGCTGCTGCTATACAATAATTTTGATAATCAAGTACCACCGTAAGCGCTTCGAACACCTTGCGGAGGGCAAGGGGAATAGAGTCACAACAGCTGTCCAACTCACAGCAAGAAGAACGTGTCGCAGGTCGAAGTTACTGTCGACCAAGAACGCGTGTTCATCCCAGAAGTCTTGCACGTCCACAGGTCGACCCCGTAGTGAACGATGGGCAGAGGTGCCTTCTTGATCTCTTCCGACATGTTCCCCGTCACAGCCTGCAGGCCGAGGGGAACCGAACGACGCAAGGCAACAAATGATGTCGGTTGGTCTCTCCATAGACCTGAACANGTTCCCCATCACAGCCTGCAGGCCGAGGAGAACCGAACGACGCAAGGCAACAAATGATGTCGGTTAGTCTCTCAAAAGACCTGAACGAGCGTTCGGGAAAACAAAGACCAATACAAACTATTTGCTGTCCTTTTCGGCAAGAGTGGTGTTTTTATGTTTTTGTATTGATGTGTGTATATAACCGTGTCCTAAAATCCGGAAAAATCCTTATCACTTGAGTTTGTAGAATTCATATAACAATAGAAAAAAAGTGCGTAAAAACGTGTGTTTCTAATGCTTTTTTTTGCGGGTGAACACTCACGTTGCAATCTCGAGTAGAAAACCACATGATGAAGGATAATGTCTGTTGCACGAACCTTGTATTACATTCCTCTCACGTTTGACGAACTATATGCCAAAAAACATTGCTGACCTTCTTGGTGGCGACGAACATCTCCACCAGGAGGT